AAAAAAAAAAAAAAATATTAGTACAATGCGTTGTTGAGTGAAGTTGATTTGTTCATGGGAGCACTTTTATGTTTTGTGAAACTAAAGTGATCCAGTTTCTAGGGTTGCAGCCTGTGATGGTGTGAAATTCATGGTCAATCCACACTTTAAGGGGTCGTCCATCTAGTTTTTCTAGTATGTGAAGGTGCGAACTTGTCCATTACAATCGTGGCTTTGCCAAGATTCTGTCAAAAATAATTTTAACACAAAACTGCATGGCTTCATATAAAATAGGTGTACTTAGTTGCTCAACATAGAAAAATAATGCTAGCTTGAATTGACTAAGCTTAACAATTGATAAAGGTGGCGTGCAATTTTAGTTACTTATTTCTAATCAGTCTGTGTCATAGATTACTATACAGCTTGTTAAGCTTGTCAAGAACTTACTTTGTACAATTTTATATGCGTTACTGTAAATTGATTATGTTAAAAATCATGCTAATGCTTGAGGTTTGAGATTCGTAAAACCATGGATTTTTGGATCTTTGTTGAGATTTTCACAATTTCGGTGCAATGAAAATAATGACTTTGAGCTTATTGATAGGGAATTAAATCCCACTTGATTACAATGCACTATGATTTAGGGTTGAAACCCTTTAACTCTGAAGTTCTGCCTTCTTCTTTGGTGACAGGTTTTATATAGAGTTTCAAAAATGATAACATGTGGGTGAGGGTGTGGTTTTTGGATTTGTAGATTGGCAGGGTGGAGGGGTAAAGTGGCGAAGCTTTTTACTAGAATACTGCTTCATAAGGGGTCTTGGAAAAGTCCTACCATCTAATCAGATTGATCTCCTTATGCTTTGCATGGTGAAAGTGGATTTCATCCTCATCTTCTGCTGATCTGTTATGATGATAAAACTATACTAAAATTTAGAATAGAGATTTTGGTGTAACATCAGAGGGAGAAACACGAAGCTGTGGTGGCTTGGTTCTTAATGTGATCAGCAATAAGAATTATATTTAAACCTATAGGCGTGCTTTTGCAAATTTTGTAGGAATATGGCCAGAACCTTTGGAATTCCAGCGAATGAAGCCAGAAAAAGTTAACTACCAGCAAAGAGGCTCAAATTCCAGAGCTTAGGGAATGGAAACACAAGCCCATAAATTAAAACAAAGACACACTTAACCTGGATGGGAATCTTTAGGCTACAGATTTAGATAGTAACATCTGACGTAGTTACCATTGAAATTTCTTGGTCCCAAAGAAACTTTTCAGCCAAATACTTTCCTGAATGGAATAAACAAAATCAAATCAATACATCTACCATAACTACATCTAAAAATCTGACTCTAGACTTTCCTAATTTTAAAATCAAATCAATTTAAATTAATCCCAATCAGATTCCTATGCTTTAAAATTTGCTTCCAAATTTGGTTGCAGCAATCACCCCGGCTAAGAACAATTTAATTTTGACGAATTGAACAAAGCCTTGTGTTGCCAATACTGCCCAGAAGCTCTTTTGTGCTACAGTCAAAGATTCTTTGATCTTATGTCGTTGCCACCTTTGTTGTACATCCATGGTTGACCTAATTTGAGAAGTAGACATTGCATAGCCGTGCACATGAATCGCTCAGCAAGAACTCCCATAGAAACAAAGGAGGCATCTGGAATTTCATCATCAGCTTGCTTCCTCGACCAAGCCATGAAACTGAATAAGTTTGAGTGATTGCAATCTCTTTAACCTCCAGCAGCAAACAAAATCGTGAGAAACAAAATTTCTAGAGCTTCCACCATCAATAATCAAGGTACTATGTAGTCCATGATAAATGATTGGTGCAAAATATGAATTACAGTGCCAATAATGATGCGGCGTTGGTCATGCTTAAACTTAAAATAGTAGCAACCCACTTTTTGTGTTACCCTCAACTTTCACATTAGTGTTATTTGGTTCCTCGCTTGTAGGCTCTTTTTCTTTGCCTTCTTTGATTGCTATAATCACACTTTGGTGTAATTTTTGGAACCAACTAACCAGCTCAGTTGAGAGGAGCCCAATCCATATCTGATCTGTTGCAAAACAAGAGATGGGCCCGGAATGCATTTATTAAAACAATAAGATGAGTGGTCATGAGTCACGGATATAGTTTACCATGTTATTTAGGAATGATTTCCTGAAGAAGGGAACTATTGGAATTATGATCAAGTGCGATATGCTTTTCGTCCTATTTATGTCATGTATTCATTATTCTTGTCTGAAATTAGGCCAAGACCTTTTATTTGCATATTCCCCCTTATGTGTTTTTTTGTACTTCCTAATTCAAGTTTTAGCTTATTCATGTAATCTATAGGCTTTTTTAATTCACTGTTTTTATTTGTTTGCTTCTAGTTGGATATCTTATCCAATTTTTACTTATGTAATTTATATTTTATTCATTAATAAAAGTGATTTGTTTCCTATCAAAAAAAAATATGGAGCTCCTTGTGTAGGATAATATGCCTTCTCATTCTGGTGCTCTCTGGTTTGCAGGATATAGCGTCAAAGATAATGGCCTTTTCACAGCAAGGACCACGCGCTGTTTGTATTCTATCCGCAAATGGTGCAGTTTGCAATGTCACTCTTCGTCAACCAGCAATGTCTGGTGGCACTGTGACATATGAGGTCTGTGAGCAATGGGAATTATGTAACTTTTATACCTTGATTATGAGCTCCATTCTGTATTTACTGAGCCTTTTTCATATATTCAGTTATTCCTGTCTGTAAGAGATGCATATGTGTTGGAAATTGTGGGAACAGAGTGTCATGGGAATGTTGTGTAGCTATGGTCTATTCACACAATGTCTTTCAGAAGTATGCTGAACAGGGCGTACTAGGTGGCACAATTATGATGGGATTTCTATTATTTCCTCTAGACTTGGGTATGGAAGTCTGTTTCTGTTCACCAAATGGGTTGTACACGAAAGTGATCTTCCTTTGGGATCCTCCAGCACTGCTCTGAATATTCGAGTCTCCGGGTTGTGCTTGCTAATTTTTTGAAAGTGAATTTTTGCGAAGAACAGCAGTAGGCAGTTTATCATCTGTTGAAGCACTTATATTTGCAGATGAATTGAGAATCTTATGGGTCATGTTGTCCTTGTCTATAGAATCAGGACTTGGTGATGCGAACTGTTGGTGTTGATTTGGACACCACACTGTTCAAAATAAATTAAAGGCTGTGGGATCTTTTCTTTTTGGGAGTGGGGTTGGGGAAGGAGTTATTTGGATGTGAAATAGTTTCTCAAGTGATGTAGTCCAAATCCCTTTGGTCTCCCAGACAATGCAGGGAAAAATGACAAATAACATGTTTTTTACATACGACTTAGTTATCAGTTATCATACGTGCTTGCCCTCTTGTTGACCATGCTGCAGCAGCTGTATGTATAAGTTATGAATCTTGGGGCCATTGTTTGTTGGATATTCTTTAGTGCTTCTTCGCCGGTTTAGGTTATGGGGCTGGGGCTTACTTCCTAGTTACATACTCAGTTCAACAAGATGGACCTCCCACTCCTCCATGTGGCTCTCTTTGTTCCTTTATTGGACAACCCTTGTTGGACGCAAACATTTGCTATTTTTCTCTTGGCAAATTAGAGTCTATAGCTTCAAAGATGTGTGCTTGGCCATTTGTTTTCTAAGCTCTAATATTTATGTAGTTGCATGATCTTGTTAAGCTTTTACTGGTTTTGTTAGTTTTTTTTTTCCCTGAAGTTTAACATACGTAAGAGCACTGGATTAGCAACCAAAAGACTAATTAAAGCTTGAACCCCTAGCCATCAAATTCGGTTCATACGCTTTGGTTAGATTCAAGCATGGATTGATGCATATATGTAGGAGTTTCCAATTTGGGCAAGAATTTTGGGTGAATCACACATGACTCATTAGTGCTTGTCAATATTGGATTGATTCGAAACCTAAATGCTCATGTTTGACTAAATATGTTCACAAACCTCAGACAGGAAGGCTCACTGGGAAGTGTCCTTTTGATCTTTGCGCTACTTTTGGATAAGGTGCTCTACTTTGGGAAGATGTGAAGCATTTCCCTTGGACTTCATTTCTTATGCTGCATTTCTACCAGGCAGCCTTTTCACTTGGATGGGAGGGCTGCACTGTTGACCTTCTCCCTGCTTACGAGTGATACAGTAACCAAATGACCATACATCCCTTTTGTAATTTTAGCCGGAGTATGCTCAACCTAAGACCTACTCCTACACCAGTCGTACAAACATTCCTTCCCAAGACAAGGAATGAAGGGACAGTCTAGAATATTTTATTGACACAACCATTATTTTTTACTCTCTCTTTTACATTGTGAATGATGATGATGTTTTCATACTTGCAGGGGCGATTTGAGATTATCTCTTTAACAGGCTCCTTCATGCTATCAGAAAGTAATGGTAACCACAGCAGAACAGCTGTTCTCAGTGTGTCCTTGGCAGGGTCAGATGGTCGAGTTTTGGGGGGTGGTGTTGCAGGAATGCTGATAGCAGCCACACCTGTACAGGTTTGTATAAAATGTCTCTACCTCTTTCTGTGTTTTGAGTTTGTGACTTGATGTGTCTCTTAGTTCTCAATTTATGGCTACCAGGTTGTTGTGGGTAGCTTCATTGCAGACAGAAAAAAATCAAAATCAGGGCTGTCTCCAGCAACACTGTCCAACATGTTGAATTTTACTGCCCCAGTGGCAGGGACCAGCCCTTCATCCCAAGGGGCCTCAAGCGAGTCATCTGATGAGAATGGACATAGTCCTCTTAATCATGGTTCAGGACCCTACAGTAATGCTAGTCAACCCATACAAAATCCACCAGTGTATACTCATATGGGCTGGTCAAACCCCACCATGAACATGACAGTGAATCCATCGGGCTATTGACTTGTTGACACTCAGCATTGAGGTTAGAGTTGTCTAGCTTTAACTTAGTACACATGATTTTATTGAGATCTAGATATGGCTAATCTGTTGAAGGTTCAAGGCGCTATTTCTGAGGCTATATATTGTTCGACTACCTTCTACTCAGTGCCAGTCCAGACTTTTTTTTCCCCCGGGAAGCATGCACCTGACCTGACTTCATTTTGTAAACTTCTGTTAGGAAGTATTAAAAATGTACTAAAACATCCGTTTTGGTGGAGGGATTTCATTACAGGTAGTCTTGTGATTTTGCTTGAGACTCGATGGTAGTGCGCACTCTTTTTTTTTTGCCAAGTCCACTGGATTGGCAAAATTGTGTGGGATTACAGTCTGCTAACTAGCTTTATTCTGTATCAGGACATGGGATACAACCATATATCTTTCCTATTATGGGAGTGAATATTCGGTGATATTACGTCATCAATAATATCTCTCATCATATCCCATAGTAATGCACCACATGTACATAATCTCTCATGATATCATAGTATCACCCTTGATATGTAGGTGATTTGTGCATAGTTTTGCTTGGTAGTGGTCTGGAATTTTTGTGGAAACCTCAATGAAAGCTTTACACTTGAATTTTATTATGGGGTTTGTAATGTGAGAGTAGGTATGGTGCCCACATCACATGGTTGGCTTTATGCCACAACACAATGGGTGAGATTTAGGGTTTGGGATTTTATTTTGGTACCCATACACTTTCGATTCTTATTCTGAATTAAAGTGAATTCATCGTAAATTAGTATAGAAATTACAATCTCAAGTTACTAAAGATAGAAATGTTGTACTTACCAATAGTTATACACTTAAAATGTCCATTTATGATTAAGTCTGTTGATTGTGTTGGGTGAGGTGGGTTCATGTTTGGTTTTTAACGGGTATGTGTTAAAAAATATTTTACATATATTTTATTCGCTTTTTAATTTGTGTATAATGAATCGTGTCATATTGAATTCGTAGCATGCATAATCAATATATAAACGAGTATCGTGTGATGTATTTATTTTGATCGACTTTATTGATAACCAACTCAACTCAGTTATTAATCGTATCGTGTCGGGTTTATTTTGTTGTTTACAAAATAAGTGACTTAAGGAAGAGTCGTACTTTTTTATTTTGTATGGTACTCGTGTCGTGTTATGTTAACAAATGGTATCATGTTTTGCAATCCTTCCCAAATTCTGGGCAGACCCAAATTATAAGTCAGTTTGAAGCAAAGAGCTAAAAGCTGTAGCTTTTAGTTGGCGTGAAACCGAAACAAAGCTGTTTTGTATTGTACGTATCCAGATGGGGACGTATACTTACTACTGTGTTTGCTTCTCACTCAAGGCTCAGGTGATGTGCTATGTATTTTGGTACGTGACAGGTGAAAGTATACCGTTGCTAACCAAACTAGTTAATTTACCCAAAAAAAAAAAATTATATCATATCCAACTAGTACTAATAGGTTATAATACTTGAATTTATTAATACTGCGGAATTGTATATCTCGAGTTTAGGTCAAAAAGTCGGATGGGCATGATGGGTATTTTATTTTATTTTATTTTTTTTCATTTTGTTATTAGTCTTGAGTGAACGAGATTCATTGGATACACGACGACACAATAATAATAGACTACTTTTTAGAAGCATAGAAAAGACTTCACAGTAATGATTTTAGGTTTGATGACTGCAATTTATATGACTTGTAATAAACACTACAAGAATTAGTGGAATTCCCGGTGTTTATAAACGCCGGTAAAACAATTTTTTTGGTATTTCACCTGAATGTCGTCTTTTTCGATGTCAGAGAATCTACACCGACGTTTTATCTCGGAGGAAAAATAAATGCCACTTTCATGAATATACATTTTCTGCTACCAAAAAAATTCTTCACCACTTCAGCGGCTTTCTTGGCAATGGCAGTAAAATTATAAAATGACAAGCACAAACTATCATTTCTGTGCACGCAAAAGCACATTTCATTCTTTATTCATTACCCGTTAGCTGGCCGATTCAATCACAATCCAACACTCTTGTTTGCTCTTAAAAACCCTTTTCTTTCACTTCCAAACAAGCAACTACACAACACAAATAAATCCAAAACTCAAACACAAAGTTGTTATATATTTGCACACAACACAACCCACCAATATCCAACTCATTAGCTCATAGCAAAGGCCATCTGACCATTTCCTAGTACCCAAGCTCCCAATGGAATGCTTGGTTTTGCCAGTTTCAATGTTGAAAAGGCGGTACTTGGGGTGGTCACGGCTAGGCTACCGGCCTTTATCTGAAGGCTTCTTTGGCGAGTCGGAGGGTCCGGTGACCGTCATGGTTGGGAAGGAAAAGAGGGAGTTCTTAGTGGACCCTTGTATTTTTGAAGAAAGTCCATTCAGGGTTTTGATGGATATGGTAGTGAGGAAGGAGAATATAGGAAGGGTTGATGTAAGAGGGCGGAAGAGAATGATTTGGTTGAATATTGATGCTCTTCTGTTTGAGCACATGTTGTGGTTGATGCACAATGATTGTTCTTCTTTGTCTCAGCTCAACCTTGAAGAGATTGTTGATTTCTATGCTCAAGATAATTAGAGTTATTAAGGACTTTTTACACTCTCATACTGTAACTCGCAGTGGATCTCTAATTTGTATTAACGAATCTACTTTCATTGTTGTTGGATCGAAATGATTACCTTCACACCAAAAGTTATAGCTGTTAGTGNTTATTAATACTGCGGAATTGTATATCTCGAGTTTAGGTCAAAAAGTCGGATGGGCATGATGGGTATTTTATTTTATTTTATTTTTTTTCATTTTGTTATTAGTCTTGAGTGAACGAGATTCATTGGATACACGACGACACAATAATAATAGACTACTTTTTAGAAGCATAGAAAAGACTTCACAGTAATGATTTTAGGTTTGATGACTGCAATTTATATGACTTGTAATAAACACTACAAGAATTAGTGGAATTCCCGGTGTTTATAAACGCCGGTAAAACAATTTTTTTGGTATTTCACCTGAATGTCGTCTTTTTCGATGTCAGAGAATCTACACCGACGTTTTATCTCGGAGGAAAAATAAATGCCACTTTCATGAATATACATTTTCTGCTACCAAAAAAATTCTTCACCACTTCAGCGGCTTTCTTGGCAATGGCAGTAAAATTATAAAATGACAAGCACAAACTATCATTTCTGTGCACGCAAAAGCACATTTCATTCTTTATTCATTACCCGTTAGCTGGCCGATTCAATCACAATCCAACACTCTTGTTTGCTCTTAAAAACCCTTTTCTTTCACTTCCAAACAAGCAACTACACAACACAAATAAATCCAAAACTCAAACACAAAGTTGTTATATATTTGCACACAACACAACCCACCAATATCCAACTCATTAGCTCATAGCAAAGGCCATCTGACCATTTCCTAGTACCCAAGCTCCCAATGGAATGCTTGGTTTTGCCAGTTTCAATGTTGAAAAGGCGGTACTTGGGGTGGTCACGGCTAGGCTACCGGCCTTTATCTGAAGGCTTCTTTGGCGAGTCGGAGGGTCCGGTGACCGTCATGGTTGGGAAGGAAAAGAGGGAGTTCTTAGTGGACCCTTGTATTTTTGAAGAAAGTCCATTCAGGGTTTTGATGGATATGGTAGTGAGGAAGGAGAATATAGGAAGGGTTGATGTAAGAGGGCGGAAGAGAATGATTTGGTTGAATATTGATGCTCTTCTGTTTGAGCACATGTTGTGGTTGATGCACAATGATTGTTCTTCTTTGTCTCAGCTCAACCTTGAAGAGATTGTTGATTTCTATGCTCAAGATAATTAGAGTTATTAAGGACTTTTTACACTCTCATACTGTAACTCGCAGTGGATCTCTAATTTGTATTAACGAATCTACTTTCATTGTTGTTGGATCGAAATGATTACCTTCACACCAAAAGTTATAGCTGTTAGTGAAGGTATAACTTCTTTCTTTTAAGTTTTTAACTACTTCAGCAACGCCTACGGGTCGGGTTAGTTAAACCCTTCCACCCGGTCTCAGGGAGACTTGTTGCATCTCTATCAAAGCCAACAATTGTTTCTTCAACCTTATCTTTATCTTTCCCTTTTTCTTCATTGAGAAATTCTCTTTTTTTTTTGTATTATTTTTTTTTTCTGAAATCCCTTTAAACATATAGATGGGACTGATACAGATCAACTTGCAAAGTGAGCATCTTGTTTGTTTGTAGAATCGATGTGACTTGGGAAAAATAATGAGAAATACTCTTTGTTGCTTCCTGATCCACCCAGCAATGTTTGATGAAGGCTTTAGTTTTTTTTTTTTAATAAAAAATTTCGTTAGATTGTTCTTTTTATGATTTGAAGGCCGGCTTTTGGCATTCGAGTGAAAAAGGAATAATGTCTGAGTAGGGTTGTCAAACATCATATTGTGTTGGATGCACGCCATGTCTAATTGTATCGTGTCAAAATTTGTATAATCTATATCTAGCCTGATAGTTGTGTTAGGTTCAAGTCGTGTTAATTAAATTTATACGACTCAATTATGAAGTGGGTCAAATAGATTCACTTATTTACTATTCAGAACCATTACAATTAAATTATAATTTACTAACTTTGTGTCAATATTGTGTTGTTTGTGATCGTGTCTGAAATTACGAGTCCTATATCTATATATGATGGATACAAGAAAGCTTGTACTCATCTATGCAACTTGGTTTTTTTTTACAGAGTATTTAGGTTTGTACCGATTACTCTCTCAAACTCAGCTGCGACAATCATGGCATGAGTTGAGATAGAACATATTCTTGAAGAACAAGAGTGACTAGCCTATAGACAGTGTGAGAAAGGATTGAACTCAACTATTGAACCACTACTAAAAATTCCATGCAACTTGTTTGGAGAGACCATAACACTTTTCAAATTTCTTATTCATTTTTGTAATTAGTTCACCGAAAACGTTGAGATTGACTTTGATATATAATTAATTTGGCAGATTCAAGTAATTTTTCTGCCTGTCAACATCAATTAGAAATTTTGAAAGACTAAAGTGACATAATTGACAGAATGGGGATATTAATGTAATTTTTCCGCTGTAATTAGATTGAACAAACGCATTACTTGAAATGTGTTGTTTGAAGATGATGCTGTGATATAGTTTGGGTTGGGTTGGGTTAGGTGTTCTTTGCTTGCGCTTTGATCAGTTAAGACTAGTCAGTTGCAACACATTCGGCCACCAAATATCTAAGATGTGGCCCAAATTAGCTTTACCCATTCTCCGTTGGGTTGGCCCAATATTTTTTGGGGTTAGTAAATAATTATAGTAATTCCAAGAAAAAAGATAATGATTTTTTTTTTTTAAAACTATGCCAGCAATTTATTCATGTAAGAAAGTGTTGATTATAGTTAGATAATAATAAAGCCTTAAGCTCGGACGATGGACAGCTTACCCAACTCAATAGAATCGAGTTGGATAGAGTATATGCTGCCACTTAATGAACTGCTCTATTCAGATCTCACGGCTTGTGTAAAAACCTCAACTTAAGGACTCAAGAAAAATGCCTAATATCATGAACAAAAACACTAATTTTGCATGGGGGGACTCCTTCAAATGAGCTCAGCTTAACTATCTCCATGTTGTCGCTTTCGATGATCGCCATTTGGAGCTCTAATGAGGATGCAATGAGACATGCTTCTCTTATAGCGGCTGCTTCAGAATAAAGACTAGAAATTGCAGGAATACGTTTTGCAATTCCCTCCAGTATACGCTCATTAGAGTCCCTCAAAATCACTCCTATAGCAGTTTCTCTCCTCTTGAAAGCTCTGTCGTAGTGCATCTTTAGAATTCTGCCTTGGTTTGGGATTTGATCATGTTGTTGGCATATTCTATTATGCTGACCTCCTTGCAATTCCTTGCCCATTGACATCACTTCGCTCCACATATTTTGTGCTCTTAACATCGTGGCTAGGGCATTGAGGTCTTCATGCTTGAAAACGAATTGATTTCTTGAATTCCAGATGGCCCATACAATTGTTGCCACTCTCCCCATGATCTCAAGCGATAAAGAGCTCTCCACTGCAGAACCGTTTGTTGTGATCCCAGATCAACTCTCAAGCCCAGCTCAGATCCAAACCATACCTTTCTAGTCCATTCATAATCAAAAAGGATATGTTATATATATCCAATTATATCGCTACAAATCAAGCATCTCGGTGATTCAGCACACTTTTTCTTAAACAAATTTTTCCGAGAGGCCAAACCATTATTACAAATTTTTCACCAAAAATGCTTGACCTTCGGAATCGCCTTCATATGCCAAATAACAAACCAGCTTTTTGGGTGAGGTGCAAAGGAAGAACTCACATCCATATTTGTTGGGGGATGGGAATTTAAAGCAAGTGAATAGCCTTAACTGATAGTATAACACCCTCGAGGGTTCAATTTCCAAATTTTCCTGTCACCACCTATGATCTTCAGGATTGGGATAGCCATAATGGCTTTGCTTTCCTCCTCATTGAATAGCTCACTTATCGGTCTAGCATTCCAGACTCTTGATGGGTAGGAGAGCAGTTGATTAACCCAAACAATATCGCAATTCTGCAGTTTGGGGGATGAGATTAAGCTATTATCAAGCTGGAGAATTCACTTGTCCTCCTAGATGTTGACATCTTTTCCTTCCAAAACTTGCCAGATTAGTCCTTTTTCAAGGAGCCCTCTTCCCTTGATCAAGCTAGATTAGATCCATGAAGGTCTCACCCCTTTCTTTGCCTTCACAAAATCTCCTTGCAAAAAATAGATTGATTTGAGAAATCTCACCCAAAAGGAGTTGGGGTTCTGGATGATTCTCCAGCACTGTTTTGTGAGGAGAGCCTGGTTGAACAGAGCAAAATCTTTAAAACCCATTCCCCTTCGTGCTTTTGCTTCCACCATCTTATCAAATCGTTTCCAGCTGATGCCTCTTTTTTCCCCTTGCTCCACCCCACCTGAAACTCCTCACATATTTGTTGATCTTTTCACAAAAGTTCTTGGAGAAATCCACAATGGATATTACATAGTTTGGGGTCGCTTGAATTACTGCTTTAATAAAAATCTCCTTACTAGCCTGTGTTAATAACAAGCTTTTCCACTCTTATAATTTATTCAATATTCTCTCCAAGAGGTATCCGAACAACTCATTTTTAGATCTTCCTTCAAGGATGGGTAGTCCCAGATATTTTGCCCCCTGATTCAAAGGCTGCAATCCCAGAAGATGGCTGAAATAATTTGTCTGCTCCATCGTGGCATTTGTAGAGAAAAGGATTCCAAATTTTTGCTGGTTCAAACATTGTCCCGATGCTATACAGTACTTGTTCAGAATATTCATGACATTTTGGACTCCTTGTTCTTTTGCTTTAACAAAGACGAAAGAGTCATCTGCAAAAAACAAGTGAGAAATAATTGGGTTGCCTCTTCGTACTTCAATTCCCAAAAATTTTTGTTTCTCCACCCCTTTTTGCAACAAAAGAGAAAGAACATCAGCAACCAAAATAAAGAGATATGGGAAGATGGGTCCCCTTGTCAAATTCCTCTCTATAGGTGGACTACACATCTTTTTTCTCCATTGATGACCAACTAGAAACTTACTGTGCTAACACATTGGATGATAAGGTAAACCCATTGTGAACTAAACCCCATTTTGAGCATCACAGCCTCCAGGAAGTTCTATTCAATTCTGTCATATGTCTTGCTTATATTCATTTTGATTGCCAAATCAAGAACATTGTCTTTCTTCTTCAGTTTCATGTGATGAAAAATTTCATTTGCAATGACGATGCTATTTTGAATCTACCTATTAGACACAAAGGCAGCTTCCTGTGGTGAAATGATGGCGGACAATATGCCCTTCATTCTGTTGGCCAACACCTTTGAAATAACCTTGTATATAAAATTAAATAATGCAATAGGTCTAAACTAGGTGATTGTTTCAAGCATAGCTTCCTTTGGGATGAGAACGATATTTGTCTTGTTTAATTCCCTAAGCATGTGTCCCCCTTCGAAAAAATTTCTTACAGCTTTGCACATATCTTCCCCAATAAGGTTCCAATAGCTATGAAAAAAGATGCCTGAGAAACCATCTGGACCTGGAGCCTTGAGGGGGCCAAGTTGTTTAGCTGTTATTCTAACTTCTTCATCCGTGATTGGCCTTAGTAACTACAAGTTCATCTCTTTTGTCACTCTACATTTCACTGATCCCACCACCTCCTCAAAATCCCTTTGGCCCATTGTAGTAAACATATTTTGAAAATAGTGTTTAACATGATCGTTCAGTTCATCCTCATTCTTCAACCAGATAGCTTTTTCTGTTTTCAGCTTCAAGATTTGATTCCTTTGTCCTCTCTGTATTGTTGTTAAGTGAAAAAAATCTTGTATTTTGCTCCACAGATTCTTACCAATTAATCTTTTGATCTTTGTTTCCAATACTGTTCCTCCCTTTTTCTTTTGTGGTCCATCTCAGTGCATATCTCCATTTCCCTTGTTAGGTTTTCCTCCGACGCCTCTTCTATATGAAAGTTGAGTAACTTTGAGTTCAGATTTGTCAATATTCTTCTATCATTTCTAAACTTCTGCCTACTCCAATTTTTGAGTTCCTTGCCGCATTTTTTTTGCTTCTTTGTTATTATAAACATCGCAGATCCATTCCATCTTTCCTCCCTACTCTTTCTGATAATCCCCTTGCATTTGTCATCCTCCATCCACATGGTTTCAAATTTCAAGGAAGATGGTTTCTTCTTCGAATTTGACTCCAAATTTATGATAATAGGGCAGTGGTCAGATCCCACCCTAGCTTCATGAATGACTTGCATATAAAGATATCTCACACTCCAAGCTGGATTAACTAAAACTCTGTCCAACCTGTCTTGTACATTAGCATTCTCTGGTCTATTATTTGACCAAGTGAACTTTGGGCCTTTAAAATCTACAA